TGTGGGAGGCAGAGACGGGGAGGGGTCAGGAGCTCCAGGGACCCGCGGGAGGAGTGAGGTATCTGAGCTGGGGGCCGGACGGGAGGAGGCTGGCGGGCATATCGGAGTCAGGCCGTCAGGCATGGGTGTGGGAGGCAGAGACGGGGAGGGGTCAGAAGCTCCAGGGACCCGCGGGAGGAGTGAGGGATCTGAGCTGGGGGCCGGACGGGAGGAGGCTGGCGGGCATATCGGGGTCAGGCGGTCAGGGATGGGTGTGGGAGGCAGAGACGGGGAGGGGTCAGCAACTGCTGGTAACCCAGTTGGAAAGGTTTCAAGTCAGCTGGGACCTAGTTGGGCAGAAGCTCTTCATCTTCTCTGAGTCTGATGTCTCGGTCAAGACCTTCACCCTCAACGCCCAAGGCTTCTTCCTCCTCACGTCTGACTTCAATGCGATGGAGCGAGAGCTCGTCTGTCACCATGCCTCCTTCGATCCGACGCTTCCGAACCCCGTCAGACGCCTGCTGGAGGAGCGAGGAGCCGTAGTGACAGAAACGACCTGAAAGAAACAATCTGATTGCGTACAGTGAGCGGAAGGTACAGTAGAGTGTGACTGGGAAGGTATGCTCGTATAGCCCAGCATCCTCTTCAGCTGGTTTGCCTACCCAGAGCTCTAGAGCAATCCTAGCTTCTCCTCAGCAGTGTGCGGTATCAGCCCTCTGGTCGGGTGTATGGGTGCGGGTCATAAGGCTGCAAGGTAAGTACCTCATGCTTGCGAGGAGCTGAACGAGGCTGCTTGTCGAGCACGAGCTTCTCAGAGCTTGGGGTCGCAGAGGAAGGGACTCGCTTCTCCCTCGCGCCCGTCAGTTTGACACTCAGCAGAGTTGACTAGTCGAGCTGGTTTCAACCCCCTGAGCCTCACGCGTGGCCCCTGCCAGCAAGTCCGCCTCGCTCCCGGAGGAGAGGATCGAAGCTTCCAGGGCTTCAGAGAGCAGATGGTTAGCCGATGGACATGAGGAAGGAGACAGCGAGACGTGCCTGCTGCTGCTGCTGCTGCTGCTGCTGCTGCTGCTGCTGCTGCTGCTGCTGCTGCACTCGTTTCGAAACACAGCTGCTGCAACCAGCAACCATATCCCTGTCTGGCCCCGTGCTCCCCTCCCTTGGCTGCACCTCCCTCCCCTCCGCCTGCTGGCTCGCAAGGCTCGCCATGGACGGCTTCATCAGCACAACCTCTAAGTCGCAATCGAGCATCCGCACACGAGCCCGTTGTCGGAATTTCGCTCTAGCGACATCCTGCAAGGACGACCTTGTTTCTTCTCGATACAACTTCACTGTAAACGAACATTGATCTCACTCTTTCAAGCACCTGGGCACATCAAGACCTCAGCCTCTCGGAGTTGAAGCTCGAGATGCGGTGGAAGTAGCCTTACCTCCTCCCTGTGCTTGCTCCGTAAACCCTCCCGCGCAAACTTTCTCTCCAGCATTTCGTAGTCTTCTGAAGTGAAGGGGTCAACGCCTGAGAAAGCTGAGATCAGTTCGCAGTACGTTGAAGCCTTTTTGCCATCATTTTCAACTGCATCACTTCAAGATTACAACCATCTCAAGATGACGCGAGTCAACAGGAGTGAAGTGAAGCAACCGACCTCAGCTGATCCTGCCTCTCTCTTCGTCAGCTTGCCTTGCCTTCTCCATCTCCTGCATCGCCTGGTTTGCCGCAAGCGAGAATCTTACCGTCATGTCACACCAACGCCATCGCCAATGGTTTGATCTTGAGAGATGAGCGCAGTAGGATCGTCTTCAAAGTCAACCGCTCGATCTGAGACATCGCCTCACGTGCTTGTACGGCAGCTTCTTGTCCCTTCTGCTCAAGCCATGAATGCTACCTTTCAGGAAGCCATGACCTTCTCAGCCTTCACAAGGCGATCCAAAGCTTCCAACTCCCTCCCTCTTCCCTCAAACACCTGTCTTGTTGTCAACACCGACGACAAGGGCGCTCGGTCAGCGTACCTTCCCAGATGCTCTACCTCTCTGTCTTTCTAAAGCCCCGCACTTCTTCTCGAGCTCACAGTAGCTCTAAGTCTTCCCATTGAGCAGCAATGTCACTTTCTTCACGGCGCCTTCAGCACTCCGAGGCCTCCAGCCTCGAGCTTCGCAACCTTTCATAGTGGGCCGAAATCATTCTTCTCACTGGGCCTCAGCAAACACGCACGCGCACACACATCGATGTACGGATCACCGCTGATCAGTTACTATCACTCACTGCATTCCGAGAGTGGAGAAGGTGGTTGAGATTCTCGTTTGCTTCCATCCAGGTCCTCACCAGCTGAGGCAAGACTTCTATCGAAGCCTCCAATGCGCATCTCCTACCGTGACTGCCATCCCACTCGGTGACAACTTCCTAAGTTTCTCGCCATCGCACCCGACCAGTTGATCATGGTCTTTGTTTCAAAGGTTTATAAACGAATCTTTTGCACCCACGAATTTCCTCCCGTTTCTATCGAGGAACTAGATGAAGCACAGAAGCGTGCCGACACGATCCGAGGCTTCTCCTTGCAGTCCGATGGTCATGCGGGAACTTGGCCATACGCAGGCCCGCGGCTTACCGTACGGCGCGGCCCCCCGGGTGTGCGGCAGCTCCGAGTCACTGAGACTCACTGGACCAGTTCACTTCACAACGAGTCAAGTTCTGTCAACTAGGAGTAAAATTCTCAAAGAGGCGTGTAAAAAATCTTTACTCAAAGTTCTCTACTATTGCTTTATACATTCGAATGGAGTCCAAAACCAACTCAATCGCATCAGATCTCATGGCATCGTTGAGTTGGGAGGCTGGTTGGCGGGCGGAGAGCAGAGGAGGTGGGGAGGGGGAGAAGAAGAAAGAGAGGGAGGGGAGGGGA